ACTATCGGGGTGAGGGCCACTGGCCGATAGTCATTCAGACCAGTCACTGTAGAGCTTTTTGGGACTGGGATGGTGGCAGTCTTCAGGAAGGTGGGAATTGTCTCCAGGGTAAGTGAGGAGTTAAAGATGTCAGCCAGCACCTCGCAGAGCTGATCGGCACATTCTTTCAACACTTTTCCGGGGATATTGTCTGAGCCGGTTGCCTTGTGCGGATTAATACTCCTGAAGGTACTCCTTACTTATGCTAAGGTCACACTGAAATGCTCTTCATCCAGTAGTGAGGTGAGTCTGGTGCTGGGTGGTCTGTTCAGGTCTTCAAAGCGTGCATAGAACTTGTTGAGGGCATCATGCATAGATGGGTCTTTGGGACATTGTTCGCTCCTTCCTTTATAATCTGTTATACACTTAATGCCCCTCCTCATACTCCGAGGGTCTTGTGAGGTGAATTGACCCTTGATCCTCTGTGCGTATGTGGCATTGGCACTTTTAATGCCAGAAACCAGCTCTTTCCTTGTCTACTCAACTCCTGTGAGTTTTCGTACCTGAAGGCAGTGTTCCTGGCTTCCAGCAGGGTGCGCACCTCTGCATTCAACCAAGGTTTTCTGTTTGGGTAGCTTTTATCATATCTGATGGTGGAGACAGTGTCAGTGCATGTACTATTGTAACCCAGAACTGAGGATGCGTATTGGTCCAGATCAAGCGATCCTCCATTTTCAGCAGCTTCTCTGAAAACCTGCCAGTCTGTTTGTTCAAAAAAATCTCTCAGTTGGGGCCACTGTCCTGGATCCAACATTTAACTTTCTTTTGTACCGGTCTGGAGCGTCTCAGCGGGGGGAGGTAAGCGGGGGCCAGGAAAATTGAGATGTGATCAGAGAATCCTAGGTGGGGGCGGAGTTTGGCTTTGTATGCATCTTTTACCTTCGTGTAAACACGGTCCAGCATGTTGTTTCCACGGGTTGATATGCCCACATGCTGGTAAAAACTTGGGAGGCAGTCCTTTAAATTCACGTGATTAACGTCTCTGCCTACCACGTAAAGAGCCTCAGGGTGTTTGTTCTGCTTAAGATATCGTGGAGCTCCTGCAGGGCGTCATTAGCATTAGCATTCGGTGGAATGTAAACAACTGTAATGAATGTCACTGTGAACTCGCGGGGTAGATAATGAGGCCAACATTTCACTGTTATTTGCTCCAAAGCCTTGGAGCATGAGCTTTTTACCACAGTACAGTTTGTGCACCAACGTTTACTCACGTAAATGCACACTCCGCCTATCTGTGATTTCCCAGTTAACTTGCTGCAGCGGTCCGCTCGAAAAAAAAGTCCGTAATCCAGCTGGAAGACTGTTTCACTTGTAATCCATGTTTCTGTGAGGCAAAGCACCGCACACTTCATCATCTCTTCTGAGGCGCCCGCTCTCAGACAAAGCAAATCTATCCTGTTGTCCAACGAGTGGCCGTTCGACAGAAAGAGAGACGGCATCGGGAGTTTTCCGGCTTTAGCGTTGGCTCGTAGCCTCACCATAATCTCTTCCTGACGCCCTCTCTTCTTAAGTCGGGAGCAGTGCTTCCTCTTCTGCCTGTTGGAACGCCTCTGCTGCAGCTTCCAGTTAGTTGACTTTAAGATCTGCATTCTGCCGAGCATAGTTATGAGTTTGTTGCTAATTTCTGCTATAATTCGTGGCAAATCTGCTCCTATTCTCATCAATTTGATTCGGCTATAGTTCACACACATAAATCGTGCGGAGTTGGGCACAGAGTCAATATCAAAACTTCTAAAAACTGGGATAGTACAGAGAGCCTGTGAAGCTGCAATTGCTCTGAGCGCAGCCATCTTGGCAAGCAGTCTCCCTGAAGACCTGTCAGTCTGTGCATTCAAAGCAGTCCTGCAGTGCAGAATCACCATTGCTGGGCCTCACAGTGATGGTCTTCTGTGTGGGTGGCCAGTGGCTGTTTAGGGCCAAAAGGATGACCCAGCAAAAAGAGCAACATTATCAGGCCAGGACTCTGCAGTTTACACTCATCTGCAAGTAAGTGGTTCTCTTTCAGAGATGAAGATGTGCACATCCTTGATGAAAAGGAATGTTGGTTTGAGAGAGGATTGAAGGAAGCCATCTTTGTGAAGAGAACTCGTCCATTATTAAACATGGCGGAGGCCTCCGTGTCCAACTGTCTTCCTTTTACAATGCTGATATTGCTAGTATCACTCAGTCCTCTGTGAATAGCAAGCAGCCATCAGGGCACTAATGACCAATTGTTAGACTGTTGGTCCTCCTTTTTCCTGTGAACAGCTAGTTCTGGATGTCAACAACAAACCATGAGAAGGTTATATTTATAAAACTGAGTTTATTGTAACTCCTCAGACTGAAAAAGTCTTTTGTATAAATGATAAAATGTTTCAACAACATTTAATTATTTATTATTGTTTATTTTTTTAACATCCGTCCAGAGGACCTGACCTTGTAGTTTACCACCAAATGTAAACATTCAAATCACACAAACTGGATTCAAAAAGGGTTTGGAAGAACAGATGTGAACACGCTCTGACTTTAACTGATGCAATCTCTGAAGGAAGAGCAGAATTCAAACAAGGACAGTTTAGAAACCAGATTGAGGTATCATCTCTCTGCTCCTGTCTGCAGGTGGAGGACTACGCCAGGAGGAAACAGATGAGTGTGGAGGAGGTGGAGAGGTGGCTGGCTTCCATCCTCAGCTATGACACTGAGGCATGTGCGTGATAGACATCACGACATTTTAGAACAAATGTGAGAAGGTTTTTAGGTCCTCACAGCTGACAGGTTCTGATAAACCCGTCCCAGCTGAATGCCAAGCACTCACATGGTGTGGAAGGATGACACTACTAAAGTAATGTTCTGACCAGTGTTACAATCAGGAGTACAGTTTAATCAGTGTTTTTAAATGCCAGTTGAATGTCAGATGTTTTTCATTTTTTAATGTTTAATTTTGAGCTGTTTTTAGAGGAAGTGCTCCCTCATGTTTCATAGTTGGAGACATGATGTTAGTCTGTGTGGACTGATGTGTTTTTATTCATCTTTTGTCTTGAATACCTCCACATCCAAACACTTGAGTCAGCTTGTCCTGCTTTAGAAGTTACTTGTACTTCTTCACAACTTATCATTGCCCGTGTCCTGTAGTTGTACCAGCTTTATCCTCACCACTCAAACATGTCCCAATTCTTTTAGACCAGGGGTGCCCAACACTTTTTCAGCATGCGAGCTACTTTTAAAATGACCAAGTCAACGTTATCTACCTACTTTAAGGTAAATCACTTTGACTTGGTTATTTTAAAAGTAGCTCGCATGCTGAAAAAGTGTGGGCACCACCGATATAGAATATTGGCAATCCGGAGAGATTGGGATTAGGGACCTAAGAGATTAGGTCACTTTACATCATTAATGTTTTTAGATTATTTAATTTGTTAACCTTTTAAAAATGCTGTTTTTATTGTTTAAACATATCAGGACTTTACATGGAGGAGGGTGAGGGTGAACTGTCTCAACACTGAGCTGCTTCAGGTTTTTATTGACTTTAACATGTTATAACATTTTGGAGCTACTATTAGAAACAGCTTGTTTTTAATGACAGGTTTCAGAAGTGCAATATTCTGTCAGCCAATATTATTATTAGGAATACTTTGAAGACATAATTAGTTTAGACAAATTTAGGGACATTTTAGATAAACTTTAAGGTTTCAAAGATGTAAAGCTAACAAGTGGAAATTTGTCATTACAAATTCATGCAAAACATGTTATTGGTTTTATGGATGGACTATTGTTGTTACTGTTAGGTTGGTTTTGCTTGTAATTTCTGAGAAAATTATTTGATTGTACAATTTATTTTCAAAATTTGAGAAAAATTTAGATTTTTACATTTCTGTTAAGTTCAAAGTTTGTGAATAAAATTTGTTTGTCTAATGTGTTATTTAGTAGTGATACAATCACTGGAGTAGAAAAAACAAACTAACCTGACATATACAGTCCAAAATGTAAAAAGAAATATAAAGAGAATTATTTTCTCAACAAATATTAGAAATGAATATTTCCTTCAAAATATCACATAAATAAATCATGAAACATGGTACTAAGCTTGGTTTGAAAAGATTAACTGGTTTTAAAGGGATAATTTGTATGTTTAAAGGTACGATGGTAATGTGGAATTCTTCTTTTTAAAGGTTATCAATGTCTTACCTGTTGTACATACATGCAGGTCAGACAGAAACAAACATGCAAAAAATGTTCCCCCATTTCTATTACCCTTTCAGGTATATTTTGGCACATGCTAGGATGACACTATAAATAATAAACTGTTCTTAATGTCTTGCCTGGTAACATAAATAAATAAACATCTCTTTGTACCATCCGCCTTGTTCCTGGGGTCTCTACTGTATAAATGATTATGGGTACAACTTCCTGTCAGACACAGGAAGTAGCAGTAAGCATTGGTTAACCATGGTAATGGAGCACGGACCGCAGTTTATTTGAAAGTAATTTGCATTTAGTTTAGCAGCTAAAACACTGTTTGGTGGTGGTGGTGGTTGTTGTTTTTGTTTGTTTATTTGTGTTCACATTTATTTAACAATCATAAAGTTTACTAAAACAGCCGTGCTGAGTTCAGGTACCTGTTGTGTTCATGGCTGCAGGAACAACCAGACCAAACTAAATCAGAGGCTACAACAACAGAGTTTTGAACACAGACACAAAACAAAAAAACGGTTCTTGCAGAAGCTTAGTTTCGTCTCCTACCTACAGATGAGGAATTAAGAAGAATGTGGCTGAAAAATGTGAACTTTAAGAGACCACCCAAAACACTGTATGTGCTCTCCTGATGCATGCTCAATAATCCAGGTAGAAAAATTAAAAAAAAAAAGTTAAATCTGATCCTCTGGACATTCCAAAAAAACAAAAAAAAACAAAGCCAAACAAATGTAGAAACGTTTCGGCTTTCATCCGAGAGACTTCCTCAGTCTGAGGAGCTGTATTCAGCTCAGTCTCTTAAATAGCACCTTCTCAGAGTGGATCAACCAGTTTGCTGCTGACAACCAAAACCAGCTGCTCACATGGTCAAGAAGGACCATCAGCCTAACAATGGATCATTAGCACACTGATGGCTGTTTACTATTCACAGAGGGCTGAGTGATAAAAAGTCAGAAGGATATCCACATTGCTCTAGAGCACAGGCTCTAACTGGGCTTTCCTGAAAGCAAAGAAGAAACCCAAACAGGACTCCAGTCAGCCATCAGGTGAAAAGGAGGAACCCAAAACTGGTCATTCCGTATGTTGAGGGAGTATCAGAGAAACTGAGACGTTTATTTTCTAAACATAACATCTCAATGGCTTTTAAACCCCAAAATACATTACGACAAAGACTGGTTCATCCCAAAGATCCAGTCCCCTGGCACAAACAGAGTAATGTTGTGTATGCTGTTCATTGTCAGGAGGGCTGTGATCAGTCTTACATCGGGGGAAACTAAACAGCCACTGGCCAAAAGGATGGCCCAGCACAAAAGAGCAACATCATTAGGCCAGGACTCCGCTGGCCTGGAGATGATTGTAGACCTCAGTCACTCTTTCAGGGATGAAGATGTTCACATCCTGGATAGAGAGGAACGATGGTTTGAGAGAGGAGTAAAGGAGGCCATCTTTGTGAAAAGAAATCGTCCATCATTAAACGGGTGGAGGCCTACGTGTTCAACTGTCCCCCTCTTACAATGCTGTTATTGCTTGTATCACTCAACCCCCTGTGAATAGTAAACAGCCATCAGGGTGCTAATGATCCATTGTTAGGCCGATGGTCCTTCTTGATCATGTGAGCAGCTGGTTTTTTGTTGTCAGCAGCAAACTGGTTGATCCACTCTGAGAAGGTGCTATTTAAGAGACTGAGCTGAAAACAGCACCTCAGACTGAAGAAGTCTGTTGGATGAAAGTCGAAACATTTCTACATTTGTTTGTTGTTTTGCTTTTTTTTTTTTTTTTGAATGTCCAGAGGACCAGATGTAACTTTTTTAGACTGTATGTGCTCATTTCACTTTTTTGACAAACGGCCGATGGAGGACAACCTGCATCCTACTTTGTGTCTGTACTACAATAAACCACCAGAGAAGAGACGCCGTATCTTCAGAAGGATTGAAAATGGTGACTAGAACATCAGGGATGATTTCAAGTGTATGGAGGTCAGAGCATTGTATTTGTTCATCTTGAGTTTTATGATTTTCTCTGTAATGAACCCAAACTGGGTGATGGAGGACTAAGTCTTTGGCTGGACTCTGTCTGCTTTAAGGTCAATAAAACTGTGTCCCACGTCTTTTAACAAACCACCACCAACCTTATTACTGTGTAGATACTGATATACCTCAGCTTTTCAGGTTGTTCACCTCTTCCTTGTTCTGCTGTAGTTACGGGTTCTTTTGGCTCTGAACATGGAGCTGATGGGACTTGTCAAAAAGCTTCAGTTTTGCCTCATCTGTCCAAAGGATGTTGTCCCAGAAGCTGTGACCTCGTAGTCCCTTTGCATTTTGGCAAAGTCCTGTCTCACTTTTATGATTAGTTGTCCCCATCTGTCGTCTTCTACAAAGTCCACTTTGACTCAAAACAGATTTGATGGTGTGATCTGACACTGATGGTCTTTGACCTTGGATTTGCTAGGAAATAAACTTATTTACGCTAATTAAAATGATATAAACTTAAGTATACATTTAGTGAAGGTGCTATTTGTAAGACTGAGCTGAATATAGCACCTCAGATTGAGGAAGTCTTTCGGATGAAAGACGAAACGTTTCTACACATTTTTTTTTTGTTTGTTTTGTTGGGTTTTTTTTTTTTTTTGGGGGGGGGGGTGAATGTCCAGAGGACCAGATTTAACTTTTTTTAGATATACATTTAGTGTTTCTTGTTTTATCAATTAGCTGGTTCAGTAAAACAAAAAGTTTTTTGTCTAGTAAAGAGCATTGAAGCCATTCCCAAGTTTTCCACAAGATCTTTTCTTCTGGGCTACAAACATGAGATCAGTTTAATTAACAGGAGACAAGGCCACCAGCATGAAGCTTCCTGAAACCAGCAAACCAGTTTCTGGTGGAAACAGAAGGAGCAGGTGTTTATTTCATGTAAGCTACGCCCTTTAAAAGCTGTCGCTACTGGATTTACCCGTGCGCAGTGCGCCGAACACTGAAAACTTCTAGTCCACGACTACCTGCTGTGTGGGCCCCACCCGGTCCAGTATAAATTGCATCTGGACCTGAGCTAGACTCCCGCTTTTCTTCAGCCAACGCTAAGAACACTACTTCTACGAAACAAGAATAGAAAGAAAAGAATAATAATAACGACTTCAATTAAGAAATCGAAGACTATCCGTCTGTGCCCCGCGTGCCAGACGGGCTACATCTTATCGACGGACCAGCACTTTGTGTGTGAAAGCTGCCTGGGAGCTAACCACGCTCGGCAAGCTTTGGATCCGCTCTTCTCTTGTCCAGCCTGTAAACTTTTTTCGGCTGAGGAGAAGCAGCGCCGGTGTGAGCTCTTTTCCTCTGAGGAAGTCGAGTTTCAACCGAGGGGAAACTGTTTGTTCAAGGAATTTTTTAACTCCCTGGACACGGAGTTCGTGAACACGTCCCCCTCTGAAGCTGAAACAGCTAGCAGCCACGCTCCATCCTGCCTTACAGGAGGTTTGAAGCCGACGTTGCCTTTGACGGTCGCCTCCCCCGAGTGTCCAGGGGTCGCCCACCACTCTGCTCCACGAGTTCCCAGAGTCAGAGTCAGAGTCAGAGTTTCTTTATTGTCATTCGCACCTCATGTGGTACATGTGGTGGAGCGAAATTATGTACACAGGGTCCCAGTTACATCCAACAATAAAATGT